GAGAACAGTGATGCATGAAGTGTGTTCATATCACATTGCAGTATTACCATTTATGAAAATGTTTAATTTACAAAATAGAACAGAGTGGGTATTTTGAAGCTCTGATGCTTTTCCTGTGTTGCTAATCCTGATTAAAGCAGCATAAGTAGGAATTGACACAAGCTAGTGTAGTCCATTATGCTAGTAATCTGTGGTTTAAGATTCCCTAAGATATCGTGCACATTAGTATGAAGGAACTTAGTAGCTGAACCATCATGTTAGTGGCCTGCACATAGATTTGATTTTGTCAGTTTCTGCTAAACATATGTTTTGTGTCCATGGAGCAAAAGGTTTTACAGGATGATTGAAAAAATATTGTCTATAAGCAAAGCTTCTATAAGTAACTGAAAAAAAAAAAAACCAGATAAATAATCTGTTAGGTATTTTGCAAATATTAAATATGCATATATGATCTACCGATAAATGTTTTTTTTTTTATTTTGCAAGAAGTAAAGCTTTTATATTGATTAATAGGCTAACAAAAATAATAAATAATTGGCAAACACCTATCAAGATTATCTCAAACTGTTGCAGTAGCTAAGCACAACAAAATGAGGGGAGGGCTGTGTGAAAGCTTAACTTAATTTATGTTAGTATTTGTAATCCTTGTGACTGCAGAGAAGCTAGAAGTTGAAGGCACATGGTTTAAATGTGAACCATAGCATTTACTCCTGTAATTAGGAGATTGCACTTTTAAGTTAAACAGTGTGTTGACAACTGTGTGACTGATTGTAGGTGCTGCTTGGAAAAAAAAAAATCCAGGTCCTGCCGTTTGTGCTCATCATCTCTTGCAGATGCAAAATTCAGAACATATTTAAAATACTGATTGCACTAAGTGATACAGTAGGAGATAGTTGCCGAGTTATTTGAAAATGTCAGGCTTGCATTAGTATACGTGGCTTTTTTAAGGCAATGTTGTGACAATCTCAATCATAAGACTTGAGTTTCTTGGGCAGTTTAAAGAAAAAGAACACTTAAAAAAAATCAGATGGGTTGATTAAATCTGTGTTTATAGGCTTAATCGTTATCACGTACTTTAAGCAAAGTTTTGTGATCCTTATAAAATAAGAAACTTCATGACTGAAATTTGAAGAGCATCTGTCACAGACAGCAATGCCTGAGAAATATTTTGGTATAGTAGACACAAAGATTTAGAGAAGATGTAGTAGGAGGTTTTGACTAAACCTCTGTAATATATATTCACTAGTTATGGGAAAGTAGGAAGCTGTTTGATATAAATGATGAGTTGGAGGTAGGCATTTCAGTGTTTTATATGCCACCATATGAAGCCCTAAAAGGCGAAACTGTGATTTGCATGTTTTAAGGGCACCTGCTGATTCTGTGTTTTTACGTGACTTTGTAGAACCTGATCATGAAAAATCTTTCGTGAGTTTTCAGATGTGGTGTAGACATTGTTGTCTGTAGCTGGTTCAGCATGAGTTTTGCTGTGGATCAGCATCTATATCAGCATCTGGATGAACATGTATATACATATATATATACATCTAAACGTATTCAGGAATGCTTCTGGTTTTTGAAGTCATGGTGAGCATGTTGGCTGTGTTTCAGTTCACCAGCAGAGTGGGAACAGAGTGCATGCTGCTCCTGAAGCTGTTACCCCTAGGGAGGACACGTACATGCATGGGACAGCCTGCTCTGGCCATTGAGCGTATGTCATTGTGAAGGAAAAATAATCAGCTTCTTCCAATTCCTTTATGACTGAACTGATAGAATATTGTTACACTCCCAGATGTTTCTCATGAAAATCACTGAGTGGTGTTAAGATGATTTGTCTTGCTGAACACAGTAATAAATAACTTAAATTGCTACTTAACTCACCCCTTTATTGGTAGGAAAGTACTTACCAGTTTACTTATTTCCACAGCAATTTCTGTTGTATGAAATATGTACCTGTATTTTGGTCTTGGAGTAACAGAGGGAAGGTGACTGATCTGAAGCTTAGTGAAGACATTAGACTGTTCTTGGTTTTTTGGTGACCTAGGCAAGGTGACTGTTGCAAAGATAGGATTTAGCTAGCTTTCACATGTCTGTGTTCTGCACTTCGCTGTCTCCTTCCCATAACATAGACGGACTGCTCTGAATGGTGCAAAATCTGCCCTGAATGGCAGATGGGCTCATTGATTTTTCCCCCTCTGTGGGGCTCCCAGAAATGAATAACAGCACCACGTATTTGAGTGCAAGAGCTGAGAAATACATCCTTAGAAGCCAGGAATTCAAATATCTGTTTAACACTGAGTCTAGTGAAGTAACAAACTTACTGTGTCCACATAATATACAAGGGACTGGGAAAGAAGATCTAAAAGTCTACAGTAATTTAACTCAACCCATTCTTCCCTGATCAAGAATTTCATCATTTCACCATAAAGAATTTGTTTTTGCACAGGAGAACCAACCCCTTGCCCAGGAGAAGGTGTAAAGCAACATAAATTGCTTTGATAACCTTTTCAGCTTCCACATGCTTAGCTGATAGAGTCCTAGTATGAACAGATGCTCTAACAGATGTCATACTTCTCAGAAACAAGAAAGTTGATGATTTAGGGGTTTCTTGACTGGCAAATATCACTGGCAGAAGATGTAGAGCGTGTAATGCAATTCTGTGTTAGCTGATTGCTGTTTATGCCCATCTAGATTGCACTTTCAGATTGGTCATTGCCAGCAAATAGGTGATGGGCATAATTCAAAGGTTAGAAGAAATGAAATGCACAAACACCAAAACCAGACTCATTCATTTCCTGATCAAGAGTCTTGGTGTATGTAAGATAGAAAACATCTCCAGAATAAAAACAAAGTTAGGCCCAGGATATGGGCTCTGAAGTTCATAGCTGTGGAGGTACTGCACTTCTTCCAAAAGCTTGTCATTCTCAGTGTGTGACCTAGGTAATTGTAGACCCTAATGTTAGCCTGCAGATATGAACCTTAGCAGTGGTGAATGCCCTTCTCTTAGGCTCCTCTTAGTATTATTTGTGATGCGGAGGCAATGGGAAGATGACCTGTTCTTTCTAGTGTAACAAGGGAGCATGGCCTTATGGACACAAACCATTGCTGTCAAGGAGGAAACATAGTTTGTGAGAGGCAGGGTTTTTTTAAATAACTGATTTTCCTGAACTTGAGTCTGCAGGACTGGATTGAAAGCCAATAAGCAGCTCTTCCTCTTAATGAAACTTCAGAAGATGGTGAAGTCCATGAAGCACAGTTGCCACTGAGGTTAGGCTATGACTCCTTTTGACCAGATTGAAACTTATCTCAAGCATGATCAGTCTAAAATAATTATTTTTTTTTTTTCTAAAATGAGAAAGTATATGTTTCTGCTTCATGAACTAAATAGATTGCAAGACTTAAAAGAACCCATGCTATATGATGACTGTATCTGTCCTGGTGACTCACTTGAAGATCCCACACAGCACAGACCATGGGGGTACCAGGCAGTCCTGCTCTATTTTAACCAGTGGGGAAGGCTGTTATTTTCCATTCTCTCAGCTGGTGGCCAAGAAGCTGGAAAATGGACAGTCAGCACACGAGAGCTAACATTGTACTGGGCTTTTGTTTAACAGAAGGTTTGTGAGGAGTTTGCTGTAATGGGGTGTGGTCTCGTGCTCTAGTTTCACTCTGTGAACTTGCTGGTAATGTCAATCAGTTCATCTGATCTAGCAGGTGTGGACAAAGGACAAACAGATCTTTCCAACTTCAGGGAGGGCTGACTGAAAGTCAGTATAAGTGGTATGTACGACTATAATGTTGAAGGAAGAAATTCCTATTGAGAGGCACCTAAGGGGAGCAGAGGTGGTGAATTTTATTTTGCATTTATTAAGGACAAATACACCAGTGGAGTGAAACTATCACTGATTTACTAAAGACAGGGCAGTTTTCTTTCAGAGATGGCTGTGTTGATAGCATTTAGGACTAATGACGTATATGTTCTAAAGCAAACAAAAAACCGAAATCCTTTGATTTGTTTTTACAAACTTGGATTCATCATAAAACAGGTAAAATTGTTATTTTAAAATGGTTAAAGCATGAAATGCTGTTTTAAGAAAGGAGCTAAGTGAGAGTGGAGAACCTTTTTTGGTAGAATAAATGAATGAGTATTTTGCGCTTGTCAGTGAACACATGCAATGAACATTTAAAGAAATGTCACGATGTTGTATCTTTGCACATTTAACTGATTTCCATGAGTTTAATACAGATTTTTTTAGTTGCTGCTTTCTCAAGGCCATTCTGGGTTTTAGTACCAGTACGGAGAACATTAAAGTAGAACCAATCAATTTATTTAATTTTACCAGTCTATTACTCCTGTTCCTAAGGGCCTGCAAATCAAAGGATTATTTTTTAAAAAAAATATTGTGGAATAAAAGAGTAACTTTATCTATTTTCTGGTTGAAAATAATTTGGAATTTTAAAAATGGTACACTGATGTCACAACCAGGCCGTGTGCTTGATGTATTTGAAGAACATAATTCGTTTGGAAGACAACTGGTAGGAATTCAGCTGCAGTAACAAGGCATTAATTGCTAATAACTGAGGTAATTTCTACGTGTTATTCTTCTACAGGTACAGATAGAAGTTCAGGTGTTTTTCAAAAAGAAATTAGTGCATTGTATTTTACTAATGAGTTACGAATGTTGAGCTGAGGTTAGCAATCAGAACGTCTAGTCTGATTCTTCAGCTAGTTAGAGGCTCAAAGATAGATACATCTTCTAATCTTAATTGAGAAGATATGGTAATTTAATCTGCTTCAGATCATTTCAGATCTGTTTCAGATCACTCCTGTGAAAAATTCATGTTGAAATTATAGTAAATTAGAGGATGGTGATCAGATTTTTCTAAGCAACCTAACTAGAAATTGAGTGAGGATTTGTTATCATAGGAAATTGGAAAAGTGTATGTGGGAGAAATCTGACAATGTGGGTAAGTTGTTATTCTTGTTGTTATTCTTCGTGCAGGTGTAAAATGCAGTTTTGTGTTAAAATCAAAAACTACCCTTTCTGTATAGCAGAACAAGATGTTCTATATAACGGTGTTAAAAAGATCTTAGAAAACTATGGGAGCCTTCACTCGTTCAAGGTCTGTTGCCTATATAGGAGTGAAATATGGATAAAACAGTTATGTGAGTTGAAGGCCAAACCCAAGCCGATCCTGCATCCCTAGCAGAGAATCAGCTGAACTGCAGCTCTATCAGGTGGTCACAGGCAGGAGGCATGGGTTTGAGAAGAACTGAGGCAAAAATACAGTTCTTCTATGAACAGACACCAAAACAGGACACCAACAAAGGGCAGTCAGAAATAATCATGATGTGGAGGAGGTGATACTAGTGTAAATCATAAAGTAGATCAGCAAGTTAGAAATATGTTTTCTTGGGCTGTTTTTTGCATTTTTGCTAGGGTATCCTATTTAGTTTTGATTTTATCCTTAGAGATGTCACTTTTGCCAGCAAATGGCCAGGATCTGTAAGTAAATCAAGTCTGTGCTGGAAATTCAGGCCATCTGCTTCATATATGGAATTTTAACTTCACAAGTGAAACAAAAGTGTTTCCATCATTTGTTTAACACTATTCACAAAGTTGTCATGTTTTCCTACCTGTTTTGTCTGAAACACTCCCTTTCTCTTGGAAACCTTAATTTTTTTTTATAATGCAAGGTCATTGAAATGGGTATTACTTTTTGCATTTGCTGAAAAGTCTAAATTTAATACAAAACCTGTATTTAATCCTTCTCCCCAATTCCAGAAACTAAGCTAGCAACTTTCACAAAGTTCACAAAGGGACTTCATCAACTGCTTTTTCAACTGCTGGAGAGTGATAATGGGCACAACTTGTGGAATAAGTGATCTTATCCACATTTCACAGCCATTTTCAAAAACTGGGTCTTTTGTATCCCTTCTTGCCAGCTTCCAGTCTTGTGTGTTCAGGTGCAGAGTACTTAAGAATATCAGTTGTGAAGAGTAAGTATTAAAGGGAAAGGAGAATGTTAGTGTCAGTGCATTTGCTTGTGCTTCATTAAAGCCCTCCCTAGTTCTAAAAGTGGAACATCTAGGAAAAAATGCATGTAGAGCATGTGTGCATCTGAGGTGTGGCTTTAGCTGGAACAATATAGATGCCTAGGTTAGTAATCTATACCAGCAGACTTATTTACTCTTCCTGATAGACTGGCTAAAGGAGATTGAAACAGCTGAAGGAAGCTTGGCTGAGAAGGGAAGAAAGCTGAGGAGAAAAGCTGCTTGCTCAAGCTGAGAGAGAAGGGGTTTGGCTCTTTATTTTTAGCACGGGAGGGAAAATTGCTGTCTGTCACTGCTTCACTTCAACCTGATTGAGCAAATTGTCCTGGATCAGTAAACCCTTAAACAGCTATGGGCATCCTACTGGTTTGTATTGAATGAGGTTTAAAGATGAGGAATTAAAAATGTTTGATATCTTGCTCAAATTAACACCAATTGTCAAGGCAAGTCGAATGCTATTACAGTAAAACTTACAGGGAAAACATTATTTAGACTTTAGGCTTCTGTTTTCGTGGTTAGAAGCTAGTTAATATTTGGAAGATGGAAGATGCTTAAAATTTGTTTTCTACCTTTAAAAAGAAATAATTTGAGATTTTCAGTTTGACAAAAGAGAAGGCAGGGAAAGATTTATGTGAACATACCCGTGTTTCTGTCTGTATGCATGATGTCACAATTTACTTTTATTGTTCTTTGGTGTTTCTGATTAAACTTTTGATTACCCTGGTTCTGTTCAAAGCGCATTGGTGTTTTCTGCCATTTGACTGATAATGGAAGGAAAAAAATGACTTCACAGACTATGGTTTGAAAAGGCAGCTCCGTTAATTTTGACAATGAATTTGATACTGGCCATAAACTTCTCAGTTTTTCTTTAGAAAATTGATTGATCTCTTTTCTGTTTGGTGGTATGCCCATCTAAACACATTCCAGTGTTTGTGATTTTTAAATGAAAATTTAAAGTTGTTCTTTACATTTTATTGTCTCTTGAGATGTTCTGCCTATGCATGCAAGCATTCTTCTTCGCAGATGTGGTATAGATGCAACTTCCGTGAGTAAGGATATAGCCACTGAAGATGTCACAGATGTAGAGACACGCACGCACCGTGAATGCTATATGAGGTCTGGAAACTATTTGTGTTCATCTGACTGTTGCTGAAGTGTAAGCCTTGATCTCAGCTTTTGTGATGTGTGAAGAAGTGGGGCTTGTATGTGTGCATGCAAGCAGATCCTCAGGATCTCTGCGCTCTGCACTGCTCCATAGTGTAGATAGGAAGCTGCTGTAACACAGAAGAAGCCACAGACCTGAATACTTAAACTCCTTGTATAATGACTGAGGAGATTTGAGTACGTTTATCTAGAGATTGCAACAACGAACAGACAGGAGAGGACAGCTGAACTGGTCAGGAGAAAATGCTTTTGGTGCTGCATGTGTTTTAATCTTGCCTCTGATCACAGGTTGGATGTCCAACTGCGTCCTAATGCGAGTGCTTCCTTTACTAAACAGCAGAGACATCACTTTGTTACAGAAAATGTCAGGAAGTATATGGGAGGTGGTATCTAAAAATAGCGGTGATAATTGCTTTCTGCTGGTGGGAGGTTTTATTCTGGAACACTGAAAGGAGGAAAGAATGGAAAGGCCACCGCCAAGGAAAACTGGAGCCGGCTTTAGCCTCTATTTGGTGTTACCCCTCAGTTGTTGCAGATATTTTCAATGCTGATGTTCATACTTCATGTAAAATTTCTTAGCACAGATAGCTGACTAGCCTCTGATGAGATGTTTGTGCCATTCGTTGTTTCAATTACCACTCTCCCTTGGCCGTTGATCTAGAGGCCAGATCGTGCTGGTTGGTGGGGAAGCAGCTAGCTGTTGAGTGTTGAGCAACATTTGGTGCAAAAAGTCCAAACAGTACTGGAGAATCAGGATAGGTTTATTGGAATGTTGGAGGTGAGGGTCTGGAAAACTGGTACATCAGGGGATACGTGCCCCATTTCAGTCTGCAGGATTACAGGACTAATGGCTGAGACTAATCTGTGCTACTCCAGTGCTAGGAATAGTGCCTGAAAGAATAAAACTGGAGAAAGCTTGAAAATTTCGGTTCAAGTGATGATCATAAAATCATAGAATGGTTTAGGCTGGAAGGGACCTTAAAGGTCATCTAGTTCCACCCCCCCTGACGTGGGCAGGGACACCTTCCACTAGACCAGGTTGCTCCAAGCCCCATCCAAGCTGGCCTGGAACACTTCCAGGGAGGGGCAGCCACAGCTTCTCTGGGAAACCTGTTCCAGTGCCTCACCACTCTCACAGGAAAGTTTCTTCCTAATATCTAACCTAAATCTTCCCTCTTTCGGTTTGAAACTATTACCCCTCATCCTATCAGTACCCTTCCTGGTAAAGGGTACCTCCCCACCTTTCCTGCAGGCCCCCTTTAAGTACTGGAAGGCTGCTAGAAGGTCTCCCCAGAGCCTTCTTCTCTCCAGGCTGAGCAGCCCCAACTCTCTCAGCCTGTCCTGATAGGGGAGGAGCTCCAGACCCCTGATCATTTGTGGCCCTCCTCTGGGCTCGCTCCAACAGGTCCATGTCTTTCTTATGCTGGGGGCCCCAGAGCTCAACACAGTACTCCAGGTGGGGTCTCAAGAGAGTGGAGTAGAGGGGGAGAATCACCTCCCTCAACATGATGGCCACACTTCTTTTAATGCAGCCCAGGATATGGTTGGCTTTCTGGTCTGCAAACACACATTGCCAGGTCATGTTGAGCTTCTCATCAACCAACACCCCTAAGTCCTTCTCTGCAAGGCTGCTCTCAGTGCACTCATTGCCCAGCCGGTATTTGTGTTTGGGATTGCCCCAAGCGGTGTAGAGGACCTTGCACTTGTCCATTATTGAACTTCCCTGTTGATGGATCATTGAAAAGGCAAAGCACTTCATTTTGTATTGTTAAAGGTAAATGTCTGTTAGTGTGCTTCTTTTTCTAGTCCTTATTATTACCTTTAAGATGTTTCAAGTCTGCATATTTATCAATATCAAGCTGTACTTGCCGAAACTAGCTGTGCTCAAGTTTGTGAGGTACACTTCTTACAAGATTTGTGGTATACGCACATACCCACAAAATACTAAAATGCATAGCACAAGTAGTAAGATGCAAAACTGTAGGCTTTTTGGTTTTTTCAAATAAGAAACCTTTTGCTGCTCTAAACTGATTTTCTCAGATCCATTCTGCCCAAGTGATTAAATAATTTATCTTTCCAATCCTGAAAACAAAAGGGAAATTAAAAGATGATCCTTTTCTCTTTCTGTGTTGTAAGGCTAGATCATAATCATGTCATCTATGAGTATCTCAAATGACGCAGATTACTCAAAATTCCTAGTTTATCTGGTCCAGTGTTCCATTGTCCTTAGCGTTACAAAAGTTTTCTTAATGGATTTCTCTTTGCTGCATTTTAAGCTAGTTACTTTTTCTCTACTTTGTTGTATAGAACACCTGTTCACTTCAGTTTTCCTTGCAGGGCTATATTGCAGAAACTTTGGAAAACTGTTCTCAAATGTTCTGATCCCTTTTTCTAATTTTCAGTGTACTGCATTGGTAGTATCCAAGAGTGGTAGGAAAGAGTTGCAGAAAAGAATAAAGAAAAGCATGCAGCAGAAAAGCATAAAGAAGATGGTGAGAGAGAGATTACAATTTTACTGGGTTTAGTAACTGATCATTCAGCATAAAGGATTGGTAGTTCGGATGTCATCTAGATTAACAGTGATTGGAAGTTGTTATCTGGTGATTTAGTGAAACAGCCTAATGATTTTTGTTTGATTTGTTGTGGACAGGTGGCCATATCTGAGAATTTGGTCCTTTTTTGGTCAATTTGTTTTCCCTTTTGGAAATTATTTAAAGAAGATAACAAAGAATCAGAAGTTAAAGGTTGAATTGGTCTCTCCGTAGGTAAGGATTGAAGTACATTGGCAGTGAAATTTCTAGGGCACATCTTCTGTCTATGTCAAACTTGTATTGGGCAGAAATACAATATTGTTTCTGGATCTGTCAGTCATGCACCTTTCAGAGGTAATGAAATGCAAGAGACA